ATGAAGCCAGTGATGTGATGTAGCATCCCCGGCTCAAAACTCCAACGCTTCAGTTGGAACATGGCTGTGAAGCGCAAGTCCAATAGTGGGAATGAACCCAAGGCTAAAGCCAGTAAGCCCAATGCTGAGCAGCTGGAGAAGTATCCGCATGTCGCGCAAGTGACTGATTGGTTACTGGTCTGGCTCTTTTACGGCAACGGTTTAAATGACCTTTTTCTGGGGAAAATACCGGAAAATACCAGGTTTGACCCAAACAATTTGCGGAGAAGCTCAGGTTGCTGCATACGGTTTTCCCGAGAGGAGGACCCGACCAATACCTTGAAAGTATCTACGATGATGAGGCCGGCTTTCCTGGTTCCTGACATTTGGATTATGAAATCATTCTCTTTCATCGGCAGGTGAAGAAGCTGGAAGTTGCCCAATGGATCGAAACTTTTGCGCCCGCAGATCCGAGGCCAGAGTTTATTGCCATAAAGGGTCAATTTGAATCGGTTTTTAAGACCTCATGGTTTACATCAAGCATGACCAAGATTTTTGGAATTCAATGTCGTTTTAACTTGAATCGTTTCCCAACACTTCCCAAGACAGTTGGGTAGCCGCTCTTTCAAAGCCTTGATCAGGATTGAGTATGCCGTCAAGGCAGAAGGTCCACAGTATCTCCGACCGTGGATGCTTGCATGGCGTCCAGACTTCGGATGCAGTGGCTACCACGAGCCAGAACAAGCCTGCATGATTGCAGAGCTTATGCTGTTAGAAGGGATACTTGCTTGGCAGTAGATATGTTGCAGCCGTGTTCTGATTTTGCAAGACAGAAATGAATCCATCTCCGAGGAATTGTCTATTTTGTGAAAATATTTCCAGTTAGACATATCAGGAATTGTCAGTTTCGTGAACATCTTTCCAGTTAGACATGTTCGGAATTGGCAATTTTGTGAGAAGCTGTCCAATCAGATATGTCATCCATTGTCAACATGGTAGTGAATCAAGGTTTCGCTTGTTTTGGATAAACCACTTTGCAAACAATAACAAACATAGGGTCAACTAAGACGTAAATTGTCCATTTTTTGATAGATTATTTCGGATCTGATACAAGTTAGATTGACAGTTATCTTTCCGGCTGCAGCCTTGACATGAATCAATCGAGGCTGCTCACCGATCCGGACATGCCCGGCGTGGAGAAGTTGTCAACGACAGAGGTACCGCGTGAGTACCTTGACGAGCCCTAGCATGACCTGCCAGCAGCGATCGGAGGCCCTGTGTTGTTTTTAGATTTAAGGACGTTTCTTACACGATTTCCTTGCAGGAGGGGCTCTTTTGCCGCCGTTCTCCGTGGGCTACTGCAAGGGATGGAAGAGAGCCACCATGGCTTTGATTTGTTCGCAGGCTGTGCGTGAAATGGATTTAGTGGACAAGATTTCCCACCGGATCAAGGCCGGGTGATTTTAGATTTAATTTTCATGATGATCAGTTGTTTTTCACGCAGGGAACGTTTGGCACGGTCCATTGCACCTTCGTGAACTACAAGGATGTGCGGTCAACGGTCAGTGCCAATCGGGGCCAGGGCATTTTTTTGATGCGGAATTCTTCCCACAAAACAGTTGGGAGGCGTTGGCCTCATGCAGAATGCCACCAGGGCGAAGCCGAACGCCTTTCATTTCCGCAGGCAGGTCGTGATCTTGCAACGGGCTGGAGCCGGTTCTTCTGAACGTCAGTTCAAGGCGCCTTGGGTTTTTCTTGTTTTGTCCTATGAGCAGTCATGGCCATTCCAACAGTTTCAAATGTATCATTTCATATCATATCCCACATGAAAATCACTGAAAGAAACAGTTGCATCTCCAGGAGTGGGAGCAAGCATCAGGCATTGCAAAGGCCTTTGGCATTGGAAAAGCTGAAGCTGGAGCAGTGTCGGCGCTAATGACACAAATTCCAGATTCGATCGTCAAGGTTTTGGAGAACGCTGTCAAGCAAAGAGGCATGCAACGCTTCATACTTCACGAAGTGTTGTCAAAAGGCATCTTCTCTACTTCGTGGACATCTGGGTCCGGAACATGTGAGGCGTGGAAAGATGAGCTACGCAACCGAGAAGACAACGTGTTGGTCTGCTGGCCTAAACCCTTGGAACTTTCCAAAACTGTGCGTGGTCTGCTTCAGCCCCCGAAAAGACTAAATTGAATATTAACTTATTTGATTATCATTTAACAAGCAGTGACTTCATCAAATCTTTTTGTTTTTACCAAATGGAATACTGTTATTTCACCGTGTGCCCATGCGCAACTCCTTGAAAAGTTTCACGAACCCAAGATGTTTTTTGCTTCCAGGCATCAATGCTTTCATCCAGATTGCTATATACAGTCAACGTTCTGGAATTGAAACTGTTGGAGGTAGCAAGGTTGTGGTTCAGGTAGCAAGGTTGTGGTTCAGGTAGCAAAGTTCAGTGTTGAGCAGCTTTCATTGTGGTTCATTACTGTACATGGCATGCCTATCTTTCTGAGCCAAAGCAACTGTTACAATCTTCCATATTGGCTTGAATATTGTTTCCAAAATCAAGGAATATAAAACGTTGAAGCCTCGATAATACCTCTTCCAAATTCATATGTGTGTTCTTCCAAACCGAGGTCGACCTCGTGGTTCGCAGGCTTGTTAGTGACCATGACAACACAGCTGAGAAGATGCGCAAAGCCTTCTCGTTCAAAGACGCTCAGATGATCCACCAAGCGGCGGGAGCTTTTCTTCATTGCCTTGCCGTTATGGAAAAGATGGCACCAGCCGGTTCTTTTCACGAAGCCAAGGGCAATTTGATGAACCAGTTCACGCAAGGTTTCATGGATGCCGACCTTTTGCATATGCTCTCCGAAACAGTGCCGCCCAGCGACATCAAATGTGTGAGCAGTTTCAGGCCGGCAAACTTCAAAACCGATATGTTTGGTCAAATTTATGAAAAGAGTTGTGAAGATCGACATGTTTTGCAAAAAGACATGTTTTGTCACGCTTCTATGCATCAACCTGTAGGTCATTCGTCTCAAAGTTTGAGTCCGCAGTCCAGAACGAGAAAGACGAAAAGGAAGCAGAGCTGAGCAGAAACTTACGCAAAGCTGACCTGGACGCCATCGTTGCTAAGATTGAAAAGGACTAGGAGGTGCTCGAAAAACACGTGAGTGATAATGGTCGGGAGGGTGAAGAGCATGCTCTTGATATGAAGTACCTGCGTGATCGGCAACAGTTCCTCGTTTCTTATTCAGTTGCAATATTCAAAAGTAGCTTTTAATTTTGGCAAACGACATTTCTATCACATTTCAGCAAATTCGATCCTAAGCTCCTGGACTAGAATTTCAGGAAGGGCGTGGAGTTTGTTGAGAAGTGGCTCCGCCAGCATTGCCACCTGGTCAAGGTGTCCGAGACGTTTGACAATACCATTGCAGTTTCTTGAAGTGGAAGGAGCAGTTTCGAAGCCCTTCAGGAGAACAGACTCTCATTCCTTACTTACTTTTTGAAAACAAGATTTTTGTTTTGCTTTCGCAATCTAGACACCGAAAACATTTGGCTGAATCTTTCCTAGGTTTACAACCCCAGCAATTTTTCCCATGTCTCATGAGGTACATCATGGTGACTCTTGACTGCGCCGTGTTTCCTGCCAATTCCACGTACTTGGCGGCAGCGCTGAAAACCTTTGCTACGCTTCTCTCCACGGGCAGCACAATGGTTGGTTTGGTTTTGTATCCAGTGTTTCAGAGCCAGACTAGTGAGTCGGCCTTGTTGAAGCACCGTCAGCAGATCGACAACGCGTTGCTGAAGGGCGGGTTGTCAGTCATCAACCCGATCCAGGTCTTGTATGAGAAGCCCCAGAGCACGGCAAGGGACACCCGCAGTTTGCATCAATTGTCCCTTGCGACTTTCCACAACCACTTTGCCAAGCACTCATTCTGGCAAAGTCAGGCAGTTCGAGAAGGGAAAATGGGGCCTGCTCCGTTAATCAAGATGGGGGATTTGCTGGGGTATGACTCCGAGACGAAGCCCGGTGCATCTGCTCGGGTGGAGCAGTTCCTTCACTTCATTATATAACATACTTTTTCCCATACTGTATCTCTCTTTTTTTTCGATTTTTTTATTCCATATCATTTCTTGTCTTTTTTGGTTTCTGAGATTTTGTCGCAAATAAAAAGACCGATTGTCACAAGTTCCTGCGCCTCAGGAAAGGGGTGCCGTGTCATGAAACCATTGTGGACGGTTTGCTGACTGGAATCGCTCTGGAACCAGCTGACAGAGTCTTGCTGATCGATTGCTTGCCAAACAGGCGGGCTGCAAAAATAGTGTGTTAAATGTTGATGCAAGGTGGAACCCCCAAGCTCGGCCAGGTTAAACATGTTGAATTTAGATGCAAGGTGGAACCCCCAAGCTCCGCCAGGTTAAACATGTTGAATTTAGATGCAAGGTGGAACCTCCAAGCTCCGCCAGGTTTGCTGAATTTGGCCGGGCGATGGCGCGGCGGAATTTGACAGGGAACAGCCAGGTGGTGCATTATTTTGGCATGATTTTGAGCGAGTTCGACACAAACTCAGCTGATCTCAAGTCCCTAGTCTATGAGCACTGGGACAGCAACACGTCGCTCAGCCCTCCAAAGACGAGACCTGCCCGGGAGCAAGCCAAACAAGCTCCTCCACCTGCCCTTGATATCTTGGCGTGGTCCAACGCTCTTCCGTGTTTTCCTGCTTCTTTGCTCAGCAGGTTTCCAGAAGGCAGTTCGGAAGCTTTGAAGATCGCAGAGTTCAAGGCGCAGTTCGATGCCAAGTTCCCGCAAAGCAACCAACCGAGGCCAGCCAGTGGCGGTGGTGGCAGAGCAGGCGGTGTGTGTGATTACACCATTGACAACAACTTGGAGCCTTTGGACCATACGCGCATGATCGACTTGCCTCCTCACGTCGCAGATACTTTCTCAGTGACAAGGCTGGGCCCGGAAAAAAGAATGACATAGTTTGTTTTTCTTTATATGTTTCCCCTTTCAGGAAAGCTGGGTGTGATGGCAGCGGCAAAAAACCAGCCATCACAGTGGATGAGAACTACCACATTTGGCTTGGAAACTTGACAGATGCCGACGTCACGCTCGAAGCCGGAGAACTTTTTGGTTTTGGGCGAGGAGCCTACGAGCAAAAGGAAGTTCGTCGGAACCTTAGAAATCATTTTTGTACACCTGACAATAAAGAAAAAGTTCAGTGAGTTTCATATGCCAATCTACGAAACCAGGTAAGATCATCCAAGCATCTGTAATCTTTGATTCTCCGATCGCTCAAACAAATGAATTGAGAAACTTTATGGACCATTATGAAACTTGAAACTTATAAAATATCATATGAAGGCCCCTCGTTGTCATAGAACTGTTTGGTGGGGCAATTGCATAGCAACGAACCCTTTTATTTTCTTTTGGATGGTCTGTTGACCACAAGCTTGAGCCAAAGTGGCAAGGCCATTTTGGCAATATGGTGCCGACAACACGTCGCTTGCTTTCCCCAAACTCCACGATGATGTTGGGTGATGATGATGATGATGATGTAGATGACAAAGAGACTGATGACATTGATGATGATGCCTGTCATGAAGATTGTCTTTGTGATGTTCAGGGTAAGGTTGAGTCTGGTCAATTTAGTGCTGATCTTCAAAATCAGTTGCAAAAAGATATGTGCGATACTTTTGGTTGTTCGCTGCCTAAAACATCTTAAAACATGTTTTTCTGTTAACGGGCCCAGGTCGAATCCAGGACCACATCCACGGAGTTCCATGGCGTGTTTCGAACGACCTGCAGTTGGTGTCTTACCAGAAGACGCTGGTGCCAATGTGTCAGCTGCTTCGGAAGCTGGCGATAGATCATGGCCTGAGCGAAGTGCAGCTGCCTGACCATGTCTTGGAGCCACGCACAGTGGAGGCTGGATGTTTTTTAGTTTGGAGTTTCATTCCATAAATACTGCACTTTAAGGTTAATTTTATGAACCATGAAAACGCTGCGAAAATTGTCGGCTTTGTTGTTTGGAGGCTCCGAATCTTTGACTAGGTGATATTCCAAAGTAATTTTGTGATATTTAATGATATTTCACATGTTTCTTTCTGTAAGCATCGTGTGGAAAGCTGAAAAGCTATAGATAAAAATATATTGAGTCGAATTCATGCATTGAAAACCACTATAAATAATAGATGTTAACCGTTTGATTGTAACGACATATGTAGAGAATCTTTATCACCCAAGGTTTCTAAAGACAATAAGCCTCATCATTTTCTGTTGTTGCAAAGTTACCATTCAACATGGCTGGACAGGGGGAAAGCGGCGAGACACCAGTATGCTTTCGCTACCGGATCAGCCCAGTCGCTTCCCACACAACCAATGTGTTCAAACCAACGCGAGAAGTTGGCGAAGGTGGCGATGTTGAAATGCGCCCCGCACTATTGGGCGGATGCTTTGTGGGACACATGGACAAAATCATCAACAACAAACGGGCAGGTGTGATATGGGAGGCCAGTTTCATTTTTCGCTGACAACTTTCTTCAATTCAGATATCCTGAAAGCCATAGGAGTTTTACCCCAACCGATATATTGAAGTCAAACCTGCGAGTCAGGTGAATTTTGCAAACATCGCCAGCCATGATCAAAGCTCTGAAGCCAAAGGTCTATTTGACCTGTAGCCTGCGCCTGCCAGCACAAAGTTGGTGCAACCTGTCTGGGTGATAAGTTCTGGCTATGCCTATGCGCCATAAGTACGCAGGCTTCTTGCTGCCATTGCTTTAACTAAAAAACAAGAGCAATGTCCAGGACCTTGGAATTTCGTGAAATTTGTTCCTACCTGGCAGATGGAAGCTGAATTTTGGAAATCTGCTCGTTGCACGACGTGATTTGTCATCCACATTGATTTGGAATTCGATGCTGATATGTCATATTTTAGTGACATTTGGTAATTCATAGTGTCCATGTTGGCGTCGTGATTCAGACGTGCAGTCCTTGGAAGCTATTCTCCAACCGATCCGACCGTTTTCTTGGTCAGCCGGCAGTTCAGTGCAGTACCTGTGAAATTTCATTCACCAAAACTCTGATAGTTGTCATGGCCGCTGAAAAACAAGAATGTATCAGATCTGCTTTGTAGGAATTCACCTGGAATGCGCCGGCTCTTTTTTTTGCACATGATGATGGTTGTGCCGGAAGTTCTTCCATAGATCAAGGGCTGCAACCCGTCGCCAAATCATGCCTATCTTTGCTGCCGTGGACACTTTGTCTGACGAGGTCAGGGTCTGTCCGATCCTCTTATCGTTTTCTTTTTTCATGAGCCCTGCAGGATGCTGCGCCGGGGCTACCTGCCAGGAAGTCAGCGCTGAGGAATCCTATTACTAAGCCTACACCAAAGCCAGCGCCCAAGGCGAAAGTGAAGGCCGACGCGAAGGCGAAGGTGAAGCAGCTGCCTGCCAAGAAGCCCAACAAGCGCGATGCCCCCGAGACTGAGGACGAAGACAAGCAGGTCATGAAACGTCCTGCTGCTGCTGCTGCTGCCCTTCCCGCTGATGGCGGCGGAAATGCTGAAACAGGACCGGTGATAGGTGTTGTTTCTTACCCAACCATGTTTCAAACATCTTTAGCCGACGCAGGAGATGACACGCCGCCTGTGGAGGAACTGAAACTTCAAAACCCGTCGTGGCATGTCAAAAACCAGAACTGGTGCATTAAGAAGTCCGGTGGCAAGCAGTTGATGACTGCGGCTAGTCATTCCTTTCAGCGCACGTTTCTATTTTGAGGGTTTCTTTGCAAATGTTTGAGCCATTGCTTAGATCTATAATAGACAGAGACCACGCGCTCTACGCTGCAAGGTGGGCGGAAAGTTGTACGATAAGGCAAAGAGCAAGGAGATAGCTGATATCGCGGTGAAGCACTTGCTCGAAGGCGATACTGTCGATAAAGTAAAGGAGATTTGCGTCTTTTGTTTGCATTGAAGGGATTCAACCTTTTTGTTTTCGCACTCACAGTAATTGTCGAAGACTTTTGGGTTTTGGCATTCGTAGTATTTGTATCGCATTTTTGTGTCGCTCTGAGGCTGGATTGCTGCGAGCGCTGTTTGACAAGAAGGTCCAGGATGCTAAAGGAATGTCTGCGCCGCTTGCAGCCACTCCTGAATCTGCAGCAGCAGCGAGTTCGGCTGTCACAGTTGAAGAGGCTGCAGATACCAAGGAGAACGATGCTGCTGGTGGCCACGAGGAAGGCGAGGAGGAGGTGCCCACAGCCGTAGATGCGGAAGTCGAGGAAACCGATGAGAAGGATGTGTGCTGAAAACTGTTTAAGGCTGTAGGACTGTAGGGCCTGTAGCTGATTTTGAGCGGCCGTGATTCCCATGTTGGCAGTTTTGATATGTTGGAAACACTAACATATTATAAGTCGTTCAAAAGCTGTTGGGAACGTTTGGCACAGACATGGATCAAGGCAAATTTGAGCAGTTGACATCGTAACAGGAAAATGAACATTTTGGAGGCCGGTTGATCTGTGGTGTCCATGCATGAGACGCAATCGATCATTCTACAACTCCCTTGTTGGGCCAATAAATTGCCCACTCATTCATGTTGATTGCAAGAGTTGAGAAAGTGAAACAAATTGATCTTCCTGGCATCAAGCTCAAAGTTGTTTAGGTTTCGCCATCCAGATGTTTTGACATCCATGAGCCTTTGCCTTGCGTGGCCCCGATCGATGCACTTTTCATCATCGCTGCATGGCTGGACGATGCGGAAATAGAACCTGCAAAGCAGCTTGAACTTCTCCAGGTGATCTTGGCTCAGATTCTGTCCACTGTGGGTTCAATCGTCGTGCGCAGAGCTCTGGCAGCTGATTTGCCGAGGAGTGGATTTGGAGCATGGAACTGGAAATGAGCCGGCAGGATCTCCAAGACTTTGATTGGAAGGTGGTAAATTTTGAGCGCTTGCGTGCCACCACCTGGAAACCTCTGTTCTGCTTGAAAGCTGTTTGGTTTGTTGCTGATTCTCGAAGAAATTCCCCTTAGCTTTCTTCACTATGATGTTGCTGTTTCCACTGTGAGTCTGCCAAATTTCAAGCAGAACGTTTGAACTTGAACATTCCTTACAAAGATGGACTTACGATTCCCTCTCTGTTTGTGGGTTGCCTCAATGTCCTTGAAGATATATATATATATGAGATTTTATGTTGTGGACCACCGCTCCCATTGGCGGCTGTGAAACAGTCACTGCCAGAAGCTTGCGCCGCTGAGAGGATGGAGGAACATCCTGTTCCAAGTGACGACACTGACTGTGTCTCGTGATTCAGACAAACATGGAAGGAAAAATGGAGTTTTGCAATTGAAGTTTTGGAGAACGCATGGTTTCCTCAGCCTGAACCAGACATGATCGTTGTTCCATCCTGCCACCTTTAAACTTCCCAAACGCAAATATTATATATATTATATATATATATATTTTTTTTTTATATATTGTTTATATATATTTGTTTATATATATATATGTGTTTTTTTTATATATTGCTTATATATATATATATTTTTTTTTTAAACGTATATTTTTATTAGAGCGCTAAGCCGCGTAATATAGAGTGGTACAGTAACTTCAATAACTACGCGAATAGAAAAGAAGCTGTAGAGACTTGCGACTGCCACGCAGAATTCCCTTTGCCCAAACCCTACCCTAAGAGAGCGCGGCGCAGAAGCTCTGAATGACAAGTATCAAGCTGCCACAGCGCCGAAGCTAGCGTTGCAGCAGTACATTGATTGATCAACGCAAGGGTCCGAACTTAGCTTCAGCAACCCAAGGCCACTAGGCAGAAGCTTTGGACAAAGTTCGAGCTTAGTAGCTTCAACAACCCAAGGCCACTAGGCAGAAGCTCTGGACAAAGTTCGAGCTTAGTAGCTTCAACAACCCAAAGCCACTAGGCAGAAGCTTTGGAACCCCCTTTAGTTTGAGACACCCTTTCACATGAAAAAGTCTTTAGTGCACGCACTGTGCTAGCACGAGTGATGAGTTCTCGACTAAGCCGAGCGTGCGGCGCGTCGTGACCAGCAATCACGTCCTGGTCAGTAAGAGCCTGCAATGCGTACACGCCTAGCTGGGCAGGGGGGCGCACTGTATCGGCTTGGGGCGAGCTCGTGTCTCCACTAGTTCCGACTGATTGCTCGTGGATGGGAGTGGGGCGACTTTGTGGTAACAGCCAGGGCGGGATTGGTGGTGTT